TTTTTGAACTAGTATGAAAGTTTATTTAACAGTTTTCCCTTATACAAACAATTCTGTCTGCGAATGATAGACAAAATAGTGTACACCAATCATTTAAACAGACAACTCATCTGTTGGGGACAAACGAATGTACACAAAAGATGTACACAAAAGGTGTACACCAAACAGAATTGAAAAGATCTCGTCACATTTATACATGAAAAAATCTCTGTGTAGGACTCCCTAGTTTGTCCGTGTACACACAACACGTAACAAAAATAGCAATTCTTCCGTGAACATTTATCAAAATAAAAGAGTACAAAAAAGTGTATCCCAAATTTCTCTTCAACATCTCTGTAAATTTCACCGTTCTCCCGCGGCTGCACTCCCTCTTGGCGGCGTAAACCCTTTCTGCGGAAATCAAAGGCACAATGTCGGGCTGGACCCCCAGATGTCGTTTCTCCGCCCATTTTTTCGCCCTCCGAAGTCCTATCACCACCGCCAGAAGCTGTAAACTCATCTCCACCGAGTCATTGCTCTTAAACCATGGAAAGACCCTGATGAGGTGGCCTTTAACACCCCAGCATCGATCACAATCTCCCACTTTATGCCCCCCTTCCCACCCAAACACTAAGATTCAACCCCAAAACCCAAATGATTTCATCAAAGTCTGTAACATCCTGAAAGATCCAACCATTTTGCCCGGCCCGGACCTACAACAGGCATTGGACAGTGCTGGAATTGTTCTTGACGAGGCTCTTTTCAATGATATCTTCAACCACTTCGATTCTTCTCATAAAATCCTACTGCCCCTCTTTCTTTGGGCGGAGAAGCAGCCCTGGTGCAATTTCTCTGTAGCTGTGCTCAATGCGATGGTTAATGCTCTTGGAAAAGGGAGGGACTTTGAAAATGCTTGGTCTTTGATACGTGAACGGATTAGTTCGTCGGATGCGAAGCCCAATTTAGACACATTCACAATTATGATCAGACGATATGCTCGTGCAGGTTGCTAATTGTCTCACCTCAATTCTATTGTCAGATGAAATTTCCATTGTTTACCATGCTTCTCTCTCTCTCTCTTGCTGCTCATGAATCAAGAAGGTTGGTGATTTTGTATTTGTGGTGAAATTGTGGAACAATGGGTTCCAGCCTTACATTAGATTAATCTTAGATTACCTGAACACTGAAGTTACATGAAGCATACTGTGGACTGGCTTCATGGCTCAAATAAGCTCAATGGGGTTGTATAAGAAAGGATTTGTAACAAGAGTTTTTTTGACATTTTGCGGTCCCCTGACTATTGCGTCTACTACACTTTTGGTAGGATTTTCCACTTTTATTCCCTCTACTAGTGTGAGAGTGTGAAGATAAGAGTGCTGTTAGAGACTTGTTAATATAGTTAGCTTCTATATACTCCTTATAACAAACTTTAACTGTATTAACAGTTTCATACTCTTGTATAAAATACTCTTTCTTGGCTTTTTTATTATTAATATTCTTGGCTTTTTTATTATTAATAAAACACGGCAAATGTTCCCCGGCAAAGTATGCCGCATAACACAGTTCAAAACCAAGTATGCCGCACTGATTTTGGTGGTTTGCCAACCGGGTTAAAAACAAACTCTTGTATAAATACTCGTGTACACAGACTATTATGAAGTACGTTCCATTTTCTTATTCGCAGCAATGTTACTTCTTCTTCATATCTGTAATTCTGTATTCAAAGTACATTTCCACATGGCATCAGAGCCATTCATGGCTTCTGAGGACCGAATCACCAAATTTCACACTACATACCATTTCCGCCATTAAAGTGAAGCAGTAAAAGCTTGAAATCTACTCGCTCTAAACAAATTCGTCTTCAACAAATCTATTGCTGTTTTAGCAGTAGTTGTTGGCGAGCTTGTGAATCAAATCTGATTTGGATTTACAAAATTCAAAATGCCAAACTCAGAAAATTCAGTTCATAATCAACAATTTTCTAGTCATGGGTTGTACAAGGATCCTACTACCTTGCTCCTGGTGATAGCTCATCCAATAGTACAAACTGAGGTTTCTAACATAGTCTCTAGTTTTCTTGCCTACGTGGAAACACATTTTGCAGCGCTTTTCTGTTTTGACGCATGATATCAGATATTGTTACCTATAAGCACATTGTCAGTGTGCATTTAGGCCCCCTTCAACTTTTTCTCTAAAAAGGTGTTGGCTTTTCAGGTATGAGCATGGGAGCCATTAGAACGTTTGAGTTTTCATCAACTCTTGAATTTATTCATTCATTGGATCCTGAGAAGAAATTATTTGAGATTCTATTAGATTCTTTATGCAAAGAAGGGCAACCCAAAGTAGCTTCTCAATATTTCAATAGGCAAAAGGGCCTAGACCCTAGTTGGGTTCCATCTACGAGAATTTATAACATTCTGCTGAATGGATGGTTTCGGTCAAGAAATCTTAAGAAGGCTGAAAAGCTATGGATGGAGATGAAAAAGGAAAATATCATTCCTAATATTGTAACTTATGGTACCCTCATTGAAGGATATTGCCGCATGCGCAGAGTAGAGATTGCAATAGAGCTGATGGGTGACATGAGGAATGAAGGAATTCAGCCCAGTGCTATGGTCTTCAATCCAATAATTGATGCATTAGGAGAAGCTGGGCGGTTCAAGGAGGCCTTGGGGATGATGGAACGTTTAATAGTAACAGAATCTGGCCCCACAATTTCTACTTACAATTCACTAGTGAAGGGTTTCTGCAAGGCTGGGGATCTCTCAGAGGCTATTAAGATTCTTAAGATGATGATAAATAGGGGGTTTATGCCAAGTCCCACCACTTACAATTATTTCTTTAGGCACTTCTCAAAGTATGGGAAGATTGAAGAAGGCTTAAACCTTTATACGAAGCTTAATGAATCTGGATATGAGCCTGATCGGCTTACTTACCATTTATTGGTTAAGATGCTATGTGAACAAGAAAAGCTGGACCTGGCAATGCAAATTATCAGTGAAATGAGAGCTAGAGGATGTGACATGGACTTGGCTACAAGCACTATGCTGATTCATTTGCTCTGCAAGTTGCAGCGATTTGATGAGGCTATTCAATGGTTCAAAGACATGATCCGGAGAGGGCTTGTACCTCAATACCTCACTTATCAGAAAATGGTTGATACTCTAAAGAAACAAGGAATGGACTCGAAGGTAAATAAACTTTGTGATATGATGGCGGCTTTATCGCATTCAAAAAAGTTGCCTAACACATACACTGAAGTTGTTGGAGATTCTTCACCTGTAAAAAGAAAATCAATAATTGAGAAAGCTGAAGAAATGTCTGACATCTTAAAGACATGTGCAAGCCGAAGTAAGCTTGCAAAACATAGAAACCGGCTACAGAATGTCATGCCAATTTGCAAACCTGTTGATCGATAGAAAACATAGAGTCTCTCAAGTCCAACCACCCAGGTTCAACTTCTACCAACGACACCCCGTGGCTCCCTCTGGGAGTGATTATATATGTGCTGACATGTGGTGGGGCTAGCATGGAGGAATCAGGTTTAGCCCTAAAGTATGGGTCATGGGCTCCACCTGTGTAGTGCAGGGTGTAACTTTGGGTTATAAAAAAGGGAAACTTGAGTTATTCACCGCAGAGTTAACCAAACATTGAATCTTGTTATTATATCCTTCTGCCCATGCTGTTGAAAAGGGTATGTGAGCCTGTATCATTGTGTTTTACTTTGATCACCCAACAGGTTGACCGCTCACAATTGGGAAGAAGTATTGCACTAACGTTATAATCACCAATTGTCCTCGACCATGCTGATCTACAATATTTATGATCTAAGTTGATTATACTTCTACTATATGGAGTATAATCTGAATGAACACTAACGTTGATTTTATAGAACCACCATTTATGTGGTATGCATCTTGTTATTACCTAAGTTTGAGTATATTCCATAAGCAAGATTAACAAAAATTCGTCTCAAACAAATTCATAATGATGGCCTTTTTGAAGCATAAAATAGTGTATACCAAAAGATGTTAATGGCAATGTTAGCCGTGGATTGCCAATATATAGATTAGCATGTGGAATTGTGGATCAATGGCATTGACTATAGATTGTGAGGGCAAGGTTCTGTAAAACCTCAAGTCCGATCATTATTTTTCTTTAGTTTAGAATCGGTAGTACATTGAACTTCATAACTTTAGATTGTTCTCCAAAAAAATCTTAGCTTTAATTTCACAATTTGTTGAGCCACGGCAGTTGATTAAAATGATGACCAGGTTGCTCCAGATGATGAAGCTCTTCAAGATTTGACCAACATAGAAAATTTGGTGGAAAATAACCATATGGAGATTGATAGGCTATGAAGATTAGGATGATGAAAGACCGTTTTGATCCAAACAAGGATTAAATTGACACTATCAACATGCTTTCCATTTATAAACAACGTGTTTGATACTTTGATTAAATGAATAATCTTCTTTATAATGGCTTTATTCTTTATCCATGATACATGACTAATAGAAGACTTTCTTTATCTACAATAAATCACAAATATTCGTGACTTATGTTTTTATAATGGCTTTATTCTTTATCTAATATAAATCACAAAAATTTGTGATACATAACTAATATTATAATGTTTTTATAATGGCTTTATTCTTTATTCTCATTTTGGTTGTCCTATTTTTCTTTTCGAGCTGTCTCAATATGAATGTCACTTTTTCTTTTTTTGGCAAAAACTATGCAGTACTTATCATTTCACTTTATTCAATTCAAATCTCAACTACAACTTTTATTTTTCAACCACTATTCAAATATGTCTTGATTGATAATCTACCTTTGATCGAGTACCCTCAAGTATTGATTTAACCACTTAGAGTTAGGGTTTAGGGTTTAGTGATTTGTGATTTGCACTATTCAACATGGAGAAGCAACATAAGCCCCCCCCCCCCCCCCCCCCCCCCCCTTCAGGCAAAGTATGCCGCATAACACAGTTCAAAACCAAGAGACATAAGGCTTGTGTCGTGGACTTGACTTATCCAATCTTTCACATATACAAGGATTAGACAAATCAACCGAGCAATGTGTTTATGCTATATTCTTAATATAAATAACATACTCTGAGTAATGCCGACATACAATATATGAAAACACATGTAAAATGTCCAACTCTAAGTTATATACTTATATCTATCATGTGTTGCATAATATAAACAAATAACCCTCGATGTCCGAAACCAAGGCAGTTTGCCGCCACCGACTCGACCATGGACCTCCCCCCCTACAAAATAACACATGAAAATTTCCAAATAAAGTTGGCGTAGGTGATCTGTGTTTTAACGCCATGTCCACATAGAAACACTGCATTCATGTGTCTAAGTGCTATCATATTACACAACCAGCTTAAAACACAGAGCTGGCATGCAAATTGGCAGTTGCTTCTGTAAGTGAACCCAAAAGCGTCTCCCCAACCTCAGCTTTGCAGAGTGGGCATGTGTTATTGATCTTTAGCCATTTATCTACACAATCCTTGTGAAAGAAATGAGAACATGGCAACTCCCTAAGCTCTTCATTGTTAACATACTTGGCTAAGCAAATGCAGCAGACCTATATATAATTGAGAAACAGATCACTTGAAAGGTATATCTGCAAGTAGAGTTAATAGTTTCCTTGTATATCAGCATTTATATCTCGTGTTTGTGCAGTCAGAATGTCATTTTATCATGATCTGCGGAAGAAAACTTGACATGAAGATATTTGAAAGAATATTGTGCCACGTGATTTTGTGCAATATACTCAGCAATGAGCCCGAGTCTCCACATACTGACCTCAGTGAGCTCAGGGTCTGATCAAGGCATCATGGACTTAGACAAATACACGAAGACAGATATCTCAGGAGAGTGCTGCCACGTCACTCCTAGCAGCGGGAAGAGAGAATATTCCAGATTAGGGGCAGCTCCAATCAGCCAGCTGTCCCAAATTATCTCTCCAATCACCTTTACACGTGGCTGCTCCCCATCGACTTAGACTGTTAGTTTGTTAGAATAGATTGGACACGTGTCCTCTCCCTATGGAATCGTGAATAGAAAAACACTCTACGGGATTTTCCACCCACCACCAATGAGAAAATACATAACCTTTGTGCGTAGTTAATAGCTGTTTTGTTTCGGATACCTACCATAAAAGAGGAATCCTAGCGAAACATGGAATTGAACAATGTACAGAGACATTCCTATGTGACACATATTTGTTGAATGAAAAACATATCTCACTTTTTATCACCGAATGACTATATACCACATGTTTAGCTCATATAGTTATTGCCTAAAATTTGCAGCATGTAAATATTTTCTGTTATCTATTTCATCATATATAAATATCATGCATTCAATTTACCTTCAATACCGTGATACACTTGTTATTCAAGCACCGCTATAATTAGTTAAGCATCGCTTAGACACTAGGCTTTCATTAGGTGCCTCCGTGCCTATGATTTTTCCCTGCTTATTCTTCCCCACTGATTCAATTTAAATCCCTTCTAACCCTGACTAATCCTCAGTTAGGCATTAGGGCCCCATCTGAAACAAATTAGCGCTGAACGCTAATTTTCAGACGCAACAACACAATTTTTGCTATGACACTTTCTGTTTTAGAATATTAGGTACACGTATTGTCAGGATTTGTTAGTGTTATACTATTCTATATAAATAGTGGTTAACTATGACTTAACTGAAATCTCAATTGCATGACTGAATATTTTGTAACGACATAACATACCATCAATAAAAAATATGGTTGATCCAAACAAGTACACAATATGTATGCTAGAGAAATTAATACCACCAATGGCATCAAAGCAATAGCACAAATTCCAAAATCTTAGAATGTGAAGTAGTTATACCATTACCCGAAAATTATATCCAGAACTCCTAAGAGCAAATACAAATAATGCCACCCTAAAAGTTAAATGACTACATGAGTTCACTACTCTTCCCAAATGCCAAATGTTCAGTAAAAAGGGGAGAAGGTCGAAAGGATGCAACCACAGTAGTTCCATACCTTAAAAATAATGTTGCATACTAGTAGTACTTCCTGATGTCAAATGTTGTCATTTCAATGCATAACAAATCCCACCTACCAACCCCCAGTCAGAGAGGAAAAGAAAAAGGGGAAATGAAGGTCTCAATCCAAGGTATGAAGAAGAAAGAAACACACGGTTACTGTTTCCTTCTCTTTTATTTGTAAGGGAGGACATTGAAACTGGGTGTATTTGAGGCTGTTATAGTTTATTAGCTTTTTTAATCAAAAAATTGCAAATATTTCAATATAAGACCAGATAGTGCAGGACATAAATATTACCGCATCCTCTCCAGATATCAGACGCTCTTTTACTGTTCCTGCTGCTATTACCCCACCTTCAATTGCAGCTCCTGCATTATCTTTGCTTTTGTTCTTCTTCACCTTAAATTTATAAGTAGGGAGAGAATTGATGGATTCTGGCGTCGCTCCTCTGTTTTGTGATAAATCTTCTCTAAATCCCAAGATAGAAATTATACAAGGGAGGCAGCAACAGATTGTTGCACAGAGAATAAACGGCATTGCATACCCAATGCAACTAAAGGTTAGAAACACTATGCACAACCTGCAGGTTAGTGGTTTGCATATATGACATGTTAATTCAGTTGGTTGAAATAAATCACCTCCTTTAAAAAAGTAAATCCCAAGAATTAAGTACCTATACATGTTCGGAGCCTCAGAATAGGAAGAATGTCCTCCAAATATCCATACATTGCCCACCACAAACCACACAGCAAAAAAGCAATCTAGAGCTATTTTTAAATATTCAACAAGTGCCTTAAGTCTGCAAGAAAAGATGCAGAATTCTGAGTCACAGATAAATAGATTTGTCCAACAGCAAAAAAATCAGATTGAACGCAGGCCCCTGAACAGCCAATAAATGAGAACAGTAGATTGACTTTTGAGGTCTGGCTGTTTGTTTAAAAAATGATTGTCATGTTTACAAAACCAATACTATATGCCTTCAAAAGAAAAGGAGAATCTTCATGAGCTCATCAATCATTATATGCTACTTAATTGAAAGGAAGACAAGTAGAAAACAGATTTCTATAATAACTGCCTCGTTTTGCTTATAAGAAACTTATTGACACATTATAAGTAGTACCAGTAGCACAAAGACGACAATCATTATCTGTTGCTGGGACAATTTAAATCTCATGAGACAGGCAGAGAAAAGATGAATAGTTGGAAAGTTGTGTAAGAGACTGACTGACTGACATATGTTAAAAAGCATTATGATCATACTACCTTGCATTTGGTAATGCCCCACTTGGACCCCGTCCAGAGGATGTACCAGTTGTTCTTAGGCCTTCACTTTCGGAACTCCTCGAACTTGAAGGAGGTCCAGCTGAAAGGTCACCTCGGGAAGAATTCTGTTGCTGCTGAGAATCCTGTTCAGAATTCTGATTTCTATAACGATAGCGCCAATAAAGAAGAGGAAGGATAACTACACATCCAGATGCATAACCCACAATCCAAATATACAATGGAGTCCGCGGGTGCTCATGCTTTGATAATGACAAAACAACAATAGCTGCAACAATTTGGCTCACTAACAAAACCAATTCTACAGAAATCCAAAGACCAGAATTTAAGGGACTTCTATGGCGGGCACGACCATTTCCTCTTCGAACAAATGATGAATTCCTTGTACTCGAGCCACTAGTAGAAGAAAAAGCACGCTGATAAACAGGTGTTGCCACACTAGTAGAAGGCTGATCATCATTCTGATGTAAATTATTTGCCGAACGATCATGCGATACAAGTGATGATGAAGCTTGACTGCTGCTTGTTATATCAATCGTGTGTTCGGTATTGCTATGATTCTCTGGTCTTTCCATTAGCAAAGATGTTAATGCAAACCCAAACTTTACAGCCTACAAAAGGAAACAATTACCTAAGTCCACCAACCAATTAATTAAGCACAGAAATGTTGGATAGTAGAATGCCTAAAAATTTTGACTCACTTTGACGAGAACCGAGTCAAAGCAGGAACAAGTATTAGGAGACAGCTACCAAAATACCCCACCCCCCAATTCGATGAAGCTGGTGGAAGCATTCATAAACTAGAACTCAACAACAAAGAGTAAATATTAAAGCACTGGAATCCAATGGAGAACGAAGTCCAGTAGTAGTTCATCCATTCCGAAACCTCTCAAGGAAAATTCGTATTTAATCCCACCACAACAAGTTAACCATCTTTTAGAATCGATTTCTCAGTAAAAACCGACCACAGGGGAAAACTCACGATTCTTCTCTATATTCATCATTACAGTCAAAACAAACCGAATTTTCGGGAAAACTAGAGAAAGGAACAGTTCCATAGGCATCAGAAATAAAATAATTCAAAGCACAGAAACAGCAATTTTCTGTTCAAGCGTCAGATAGTCCAGTAAATTCAACACACTTGCACAGAAAAGTGGAAGCATATATATAGAAATGAAGAGAAAGGGAGAGAAGAAGAGAGAGAGAGAGCGGACCAGTGAGCAGCAAGCGGTGAAGCTAAGAGGAAAGAAGGGAGAAGAAGAATTGAAAACAGCATCGGAGGAAGTTTCGATGAAAAGTATCGATGAACTTCCGTCAGATTCACCGCGTGAACAGAGATTATTACTCCGCAATCCATTAGATTATCATTAATGTTTATGATTACATTGTTATTATTATCAAAAATTAACGAGACAGAGTAATATTACTGTGTGAGTGTATTACTGCCGTGCCTTTGTCAGTTTCTGAGGGGCTTTGGCCTTTGGGCCCTTTAGCTTTTCTATAGCTTTTTTGGGCCTCTTTTCTTCTTTGCTTTGGGGCTTGTTAGTCTGTTAGATATCTTGTATCTATTAAGTTAGGGGCGAAGTAAATTTATTACCTGCAGTCCTCTTTTTATTAAGCAATTCATGGTTTAGGGCTTTATACATTTAAATTACAGCTTCATCAATATTGGGATGGCATTTAGTGTGATTTATGTGGTACTAGGTCTTCAGTTTTTTTTTCTGTAAAATGAAAACAAACACGTGATATCTTAATTATTTTTTAGACTCATGTATGTCCGACTTTTGGGACTAAGGTTTGGATGTTGTTGTTGTTGTATGTATGTCCGACTTGTGAAAAATAATCCGCGCTGCTCCCTTGTTCATCGTTGGGATATCTCTCCCTTGAATTTTTGAAAATAACTGCGCAGTTAGACAACACAGTATATTTCAGAAAATCATTTGATTGTCTTCTCGATTGAATTTTTAGCTGAAATTTGGTATGAGTAAACTAGACTTAATCGAGAAGATGTTCAAAAAATTTCATCAAAAAATTCCACCGGAAACCGCCCCAAATGGCGATGGCGGGACAGAGCCTCCTATAAAAGGGTTTATTTGCACTTTTTATGAAAGTTCGAGGGCTTATTTGGTAGTTCCCCTCGAGAAGAATGATAGACGTTTATACTTCTTACCCCACCCCACCCACCCGAACGGTGATAATAGCCATTAGGGACTATTTGGCTCCAACTAGCTGTGGACTAGGTACCATTACCCTCCCATTCCGGATCTGGTCTTGAATTGAGATCGAAAAACAATTCTATACTTGATACAAAGACCGATAATATCCAGGCCGAGCCTAATCCAAGACCGGTGACTGGTCCACCCCTATGTGGTACCAACAAATGGATATCATTCTGATTTGGTATTTAATGCGATTTTTATCATACCACCATAGTCTATGCATTTATTTGTACATAATTTATTTTATAAATTGCAAAGAAAGTGTTTATTTTTATAGTAAACAAGGTGTAATTGTAAAAATGGTTAATATTTGAGAAAACGAGTTTTAAGTAATGTTTAGTTTCTTTCAATATCCTTTTTGTTTCAATCATATATACATCCTTTTAGTCTGCATTTTCAGTTCATTTCATATATTTCTTTTTAGTGTTATCTAGAGTGTTTGTATTCGATGGTGGAGTGTTGTCTGCAAGGTGTATGTTATCCACCATCTTTGATCGGATGTTTTGTATGATAATAAAAGGTTTGCACTGATTTCTTATCTATTATGAACTCGATTTTCTTCTGCACCAATATTAAGACTACTTGACTCTAGTTTTATGGCGGTCGTGTCAAAAATATAGGTTCACATGGATTCCTTTCATTCCAATGGTTGGGGAAATGGCCAAACGAGACTAACGCTACAATAGACATCTTACCTGTGACTATCAAATTAAGAAAGTTTCGTAGTTCCTTTTTGGTGGGTGGTGAAGTCGAAATGCATATATTCTTTCCCTTATTGCATTCGTCTTATTATAAATTTTCATAATTTGATTTTTAAATATTTTTTCTAATAGAGAATTAAATGCAATGGCAATCAAAATTGTTCATTGGTAAATGTGAAATTGGGAAAGTTGCAACTAAAAAGGAACGGAAGAAGTAGGTCTCAATTATGAAATCTCATTTGGACTCTTGTACATGATAAACACCCAACCCGATACACATATTCCTTAAAAGCATTGAACTAGAATTTTTAGCATGTTATCAACACATTTTCATGTCATTGTTCACATTATCCCTAAATCAGTGCAATGTAATCAGCGACTCATTGTCACGTCATCATCACTCCAAGGGATTGTGTATGTATTGTGGTGACCCTTATACACCTGGACATTATGCAGCAAGGCATAAGAAACCACAACTGTTTTATCTTGAAGGAGAAGAAGAAGAAGAAGAAGAAGAAGAAGAAGAAGAAGAGGAGGTAAATATAGAAGATATACCAGAAGAGATGGAAGCATGTGTATCCATGAATGCCATGACTGGTTTATCTCATTTCCAAACAATGAGGGTGACTGAGTATGTTAATAAAAAAACCACTACACATACTGATAGACAGTGGGAGCACACACAATTTCATTGATGAAACTACTGCTACGAAATTGGGCTGTAAAATGGTAGAGGTTAAACCCATGTGTGTGGCTGTGGCTGATGGAAACAAGATGGTAGTGTACAAGATGTGTAAAAGGTTTCAATGGAAGATACATGACACCATTTTTACATCAGACTATATGGTGTTACCATTGGGATGCTGTGATATTGTTTTAGGTATTCAATGGTTGTCAACGTTGGGGCCAATAATCTGGGACTTTCAGAAATTGATCATGGAATTCAAGGTAAATGGAAAGAGACATGTGGTGAGGGGGTCACATAACAACAACAAAGTTAAAATCATTTCATCTCAGAAATGCCAGAAACTTATACATGAAGGAAGCAGTCAGATAGCTATGATACAGTTATCAGATTTTATTGATCATGATAATGAATTATTCCCAGGTTACCCTACCCTATTATCTGCTCAAATAGGTGTTCATGATGAAAATAAGGAAATTGACAAATTGATAGAGAAGTATTCTATCATTTTTGAAGAACCGGTTGGGTTACCTCTTTTTAGAGGTGAATTTGATCACAGAATACCTCTCAAAATTGGGTCTCAACCTGTTAGTAAGAGACCACACAGGTACCCCTCTATGCAAAAAGGAGTAATTGAAAAGCTGGTTAAAAAGATGCTGGAATTTGGAATCATACAGAATAGTAGCAGCCCATATGCATCACCTGTAGTTTTAGTGGGAAAGAAAGATGGATCTTGGCGTTTATGTACTGATTACAGGGAGTTGAATAAGCAGACCATAAAGGATAAATTTCCAATACCCTTATTGGATGATTTACTGGATGAATTGGGAGGGGCTACTGTGTTTTCTAAGCTGGATTTGAGGAGTCGTTATCATCAACTAAGAATGAACAAAGAGGATATTTACAAAACAACTTTTAAAACTCATGAAGGTCATTATGAGTTTGTAGTTATGCCTTTTGGGCTAAAATGCTCCATCTTGACGAAGTTTTTGGATACGGAGATGGTATAATTCTGAATTCCAAAGAATCTTATCGCCGAATTTCGATAAAAATGTACTCCTCCGTCCCGCAATTAAGTTACCACTTTCCTTTTTGGGCAGTCCCTAAATTAAGTTTACATTTCCTTACTTTCCTTATTTGGCTAATTATCTACATCAAAACAGTGTCAAAAAGTGCCAAACAGTATTTGAACAGTGCAAAACAATGCCAAACAGTGTTTGAACAGTGCAAAACAGTGCACTCCACACTAAAGTCAAATTTATTTTCTTAATCTGTGTGAAGTCAAACAGGAAATTTGTTTTGGGGACGGAGGGGGCAAATTATACGGTACATCCGGGTGTACATATACACCCGGTATTTTTGCAATTTCCTGCAACTTCAAGCCTTTTGATTCTTCTTCTGCCGCCATCGTTCCTTTTATTTCTTTTCCAGCTGCCCCGTTCCTTTTCTTTCTTTTCCAACCGTCATTCTATTTGATCTTTCCTGCTAGTTGTTTAACATTTTGTGTTTTATCTTTTTGATTTTATTTTTTTGTTTCTTTTAGGTTAGTTAGTTTACTTTCTTTTCTTTTGTCTTTTTTATTCTTTTCGTTTCTTTCTTTTCTTGTTTCCTTCTTTCTTTTTCTTTATACTCCGTATATTAACACCGAGCACATTAGAGAGCTTTAACTCAAATAAATAAAGTGTCTAAAAAGAATGGACATACACAAATTAGCTTTTGAATTTTAGAAAACTCATTTTATAAGTTATGCATGTCCATTTAGTACCTTCGTTATGCTCATTTTAAAATGTTATATCAATGCATATTTCAAAAATCTCATATTACATTAGATTCACATATAATTTGATTATAGACACGAGACCACAAATCATGACCCTCAATAGCACGATTCTAATACTCAATAACGTAGGTTTGATGCCCACTGAAAATGTCTTAATGCTCAACGAACAAAACTTACAATTTATATATCAATGTTCATCTTATAAGTTATATATGCTCATTTGTATAGGTCTGATGCTCATTAAAAATTCATTAATGCTCATTTAACATTACGATTTTATAAGGTTTGATTCTCATTAAAAATTCATTAATGATCTTATAAGGTTTGATGCTCATTGAAAACGTCGTTATGTCAAACTAACAAACTTTGCGATTTTCATATCAATTAACATTTTGAAAGTTATGTATGCTCATTTTGTATTGATGTTATGCTCATTTTAAAATATCATATCAATGCATATTTCAAAAGTATCATATTACACTAAATTCACATATTGAAATTCATAAGAGTTTATTATAAATATAATTTAATAAGTTTTTATAAAAGAAAAAATAAGAAAAAGAACAAAAATTAGAAGATATGAAGTTGAGACTATGTTACTCATTGTTAGCCTAGTAATACTCAATAAAATAGGTTGGATGCTCACTAAACGTACAATATTAATTGCTCATTTAGCGGAAGCCGTGAATTTTCGCTTAAATTACAAATATGTCACCGAATTTTTTTAGCCTGTATTAGTGATTGGGCCGTCTTTTTTACTTGGGCCGGGTGTACGTACACCCGGATGCACTATATACGAACTGGACGGAGGGAGTATGTCTTATCTAAAAGCCGAGAAGTTCATAAAAATCTACCGAAACCCACCAATTAACGAGATTAAAAAAATCTACTAAAAATTGAGGGCACCCGAAATTTAACAGACCTTCGAATTTCTGAATTCAGGACATTTGGAATTTTATAGAACCATGAAGCTCCACCATACTGAGAACGGCCCATTCCGTGAATACAATTGTTGTTTAGATACATGCACATATTATATGATATTATTTGAGAATTACATGTCATGCAATACTTGGTTGAGGACACTAGCACTATTTAAAAGCATTATTGTAGAAAAAGAAAACGAAGAATATATACCACCACAAACATGATTGTCTGAAAATTTTAATCTTTATGTTTTATTTTCCTAAAATGACTAGAAAAAGTATGTATGTTTTTAGATTTTATAAGGCATTTTCAAACATTTCTCAATTATATTCTTAAATATTGTGCACATTATGTGGCATACTAGATATAATTATAAATTATATTTTAATTTTTTATTTGATAAGAAAATAGCAAACACACTTAAATAAGATATTAGATAAGTTCCATATCTAATTACTTACACTATTACTACCATATTTTTTTGAAAGGAAACGACTATATTGATATCATTAGAATCAGGATCGTTACAACAATCTCAAAATAATCAAAACTGACAACAACATTCATCTTCCAACCACTACTTTTAGCCCTACGATTAGACATAGAGACGACCACCCCTAAAGGAGCAATACAGATCGCTAACCACCAGACGGACTTAATGCAGCTATTGCTGAAAAAATAGATCTGTTCACCACTAACAATATCAAATCTAGTCGAAGCCTCGATCAATGTTAAAAACCTATTACCATAAGCAAATATCAAAAGCAAAACGATAGCAACGAATTTCTTCAAAAGCAGACTAAAAACGGGGACAATGAATTTAAGGAGGATGAACTTATTGAGCCGCTGAACCCAATCTTCGAGCGCGGTGCTCCGACCCCTAATCACCCATTTCCAGCATGGCGGCGGTTCAGGAGGGGGGGGGGGGGGGGGGGGGATCCTCTTCCCTTCATCTTATTCCTTCAACACCTTGATCTGCCCGTGATTCGCTTCCATCTCTTGGCCAACATACCGCACGAGCACAACCAGTCCAAACGCGAACAATCTCCAGATCCTTATCATCTCCCCTGTGCTGCAATTGAGATTCGCCAAGACCCTCCGATCTCGAATGCTCCCACGCCCCACCCTGTGCTCCAGATGAGGAAAACTAGCAAAACCCGTGATACTGAAGCGCCAAGAAAGCTATAGCGCCGCCCACCGAAACCCTAGACTTGCTAGGATCGCCGCCGCCGTGAACTATGCCCATATAACTCGGATTTTGGGGCAAAATAATTGGAGTAATTTCCCGACAAGCTTAACTAGGGTTCTTGAGCTCTCCAAAGTTGAAATTTGGCCAAAAGATACTATTACTACCATATTAAATTATCACATCTAACGTTAATCAAATCTACTTATTGGTATTTAATTGATTAGCTTATTAGTACCATTCTACCAATCTACTATATGCAACTAAGGATGTTTTTACTTGGACTGGTATGGTCTAGTCTGGTCTGGTCTGGTATGGTCTGGTCTGGTTTCTTTGTATTTTTATAACTATCCAAGTCTGGTCTGGTCTGGTCTGGTCTGGTCTGGTCTGGTCTGAACTGGTCTGGTCTGGTCTGGTCTGGTCTGATCTGATCTGGTCTGGTCTGGTCTGAGACGAATTACAGTCCAAGTAAAAACATCCTAATTGTTACCGGTATTACAAATTTACAATTATACTACGTAGCTATTAGCAGGTAGCAACACATCTAATAGGTATCTATATTATAGATATCTATAAGTATTATTAGATGCTTTGTAGTTTGCACATTATACTCCTTCCGTTCCTCAATTTTAGTACTTTTTACTTGAGAAAATGGTCAAAGTGGTACATGAACTTGTTTCAAGTGGAGTAAGTAGTACTTCATCTTATACTTGAAACTATAAAGAACATGAACTTGCACTTTTAAAAGTCGATTAAGTATATATGCTCTGTTAGAACGTTCAAATAACCGACATGGCCAACTATCATTTTGTAATATATTGTTGCAATCCGAGTCATCAAATAATTAATCTATAAACTATAGTTCTCTCTGGTCCACTCGTTTATATCTTCGCTTTTCATCTTATATTTCTCATTTTTGCTCTACATTCTCTTCGCTCTTCATCTTATATTTCTCTCGTCTGCTCTTCAAGGGCGGAGCCAGAACACTGGGTCGGATTGGACCAGTACAAAGAATATTTTTGGAAAAAAATTCGCACATAATTTTTACTTTAAAATTAAAACAGTTTTTTGAATTTGGGATGGACTAGGACCTAGGTTGACCCCTGCTCTAGCTCCGTCCCTGATGCTCTCCTCTCTCGGTTACTCTCCGTACTATCTTGCGGCGGGATGGCAGTGAGAGTGGACATGAGAAATATAAGATGTAGAGCAGAGAGAAGGGAGAGCAGACAAGAAAAATATAAGATGATGAGATAAAGTGGAAATGAGTGAACGAAAAAATAGAGTTTGTAGATTAATTATTGGGAGAACTATCAAATAAGCCCTTGAACTTTAATAAAAAGTGCAAATAAGCCCTTTAATAGGAGGCTCTGTCCGGCCGTCGCCAGTTGGGGCGGTTTACGGTGGAATTGTTTGATGAAATTTTTGGAGTATCTTCTTCATTAAGTCTAGTTTATTCATACCAAATTTCAGCTAAAAATTCAATCGGGAAGGCAGTCAAATGAATTTTTGAAGATAACTGCGCAGTTAGACAGCGCAATATGTTTCAGAAAATCATTTGACTGCCTTCTCGATTGAATTTTTAGCTGAAATTTGGTATGGGTAAACTAGACTCAATGAAGAAGATTCTAAAACAATCATCAAAAAATTCCACTGAAAACCACCGCAAATGGTGACAGCCGAACAAAACCTCCTGTAAAAGAGCTTATTTGTACTTTCTATGAAAGTTCGAAGACTTATTTGATAGTTCTCCCTTAATTATTTGATGACTTGCACTGCAATTGAATAATGCAAACGAATAGTTGGACCAGGTAGAACAGATGTACTTGATCGACTATAAAAATACAAGTTGATTTACTTTAAAATGCAAGATGAAGTACTATTAAAATCGATGTATCATTTTGACCATTTCCTCATTTTTATTTGTAGGGATCTACTTTATTGTACGGCAGTTTATGGAGATTTTTTCTAAAATATTACTAATAAAAGATGTATTAACAAAAATGTGTTTATAAATTACGATGTGTTTGTTTTATAATCACATCACATTTGGGATAGTACTTCTGTCCACTACTTTTATTTTAATTGTAGATTTAAAATTATTTCTAAA